TGTGTGTGTGTGTGTGTGTGTGTGTGTGTGTGTGTGTGTGTGTGTGTATCCTTGCCTGCACGTGTGTGCAACCTGGTGCTTCTGGAGCTGTTTATTATTCTACCTTGAGCTTCCCATGTCAATGTGATGGTGTCACATAGAACGTTTAGGGAGTACAGAGGCTAACTCATTCCCGTAAGGACACACTGTCAAATCAAAAGTACTGAAAGACTGACGCACAAAAGTTCATGTCAGGAAACTTTAGTTAGTTAATAGAAAGAGGTTTGTATGTGTATGTTAGGCCATACCATATAAGACAATGAGTGGCATAAAGTAACGCATGGTAGACCTCAAAGAAGGTGTTTGTATTGATGAAAAGTCAGAGGTACAGAAAATGAAGACGCTAATAGGTGAAAGAATAAATGGCGTTGCTTTTTACAATTTTCTTTCTCGCACCAAAAACATGCTAATGCTAGTTCAAGAACCAGACCAAAATAAATTATATTTTTATGTGAAAAGTTTGTAAGCTCAATAAGCCAGGGAGATGAAACCAAAAAAGGTTCAAATCAAGTCATCTAGACAAGTTTCTTTTAGGAGAAATGTTTCGTCTTTTATCCGAAAGACTTCATCAGGCTGTGGCCTGCCAAGCCAGATCTGTCCCATAAATAGCCCTCACCGATGTGTTTGCAGTCAGTATTTGTGTGTGCTGTCACCAACTAAGCTATAAATTGATCAGTCTCACCTGCCAAACAATAAGTGCATCTTTAATAATACTGTTAGAATCAAACAAATCATCTTTTTAAACCCATATTTCTTGTATATTTAACAGTACTTGTCAATGGTTATAGGACAAGCTGACCAAAATGATCTGAATATTAGAATAAATAAGAATGGATACTGTATGGATGTTAATGTTGCACAATTTTGGGGTTCTAGGTCATGTTGAATTTTGTATCAACACCAATTTTTGCTCTCCCAACATCTAATTAATAATATTTTCTTTGCGGATCAAGCAGACTCCGTTTGACTGATGACATCACTTATCAAATCCTGAGTGAGTGTGTTCATTAGTTCTTCTGAGACAATGGCTAATGTACTGTAAACTCTAATAAAACTACTATAAAATACCCCACCTCTATTTTTCTTCATTTTATCTCCTGCAAAGTGTCCCAAGTTAATGGGGTTGTGTTTGTTAACAAGCTTGTGAAGTCCTCGTCAGCGACATTGTCACAGCAACAGGCAGATGTGCATGGCTTCGTCAGGCCTCTCTATGGCAGTGACAGCAGACAGCTCTGCAATTAGTGACTCAGGAAGGAAGGCAAAGAGGCAAGCAGCAATATTACACGTTGCCAGCTGTGTCTGAACACCAAGAATACCGTTGCAGTGGCTGTTGTTCACACGGAGGCACGTACATTTATACCTGTTGGCTTCACCGTGTGCTCAGCCTCGCACCTTCTGTGCTGTGAAGTGTGCGCAGAGTGCAGCGCTCCTCATTATTAACAGCAGTGTTGGCTTAGGTATTGTAGAAGAGGGCAGCTCAGCTCAGCCAGCAGTCACAGCAATTTACAGGTCTGTCAGAGAGAAAGAGGTCGACCAGAGGAGAGAATTAAAAAGCATTTACAGCTGTAAAATAGACCGCAGACGGGGAGATGGAGCTTGACGTATGTGTCCGTGTTGACCTTACTGCAGGGCTTTTATGGTGTTGTCCTAAATGTATTTGTTTTATTATTCTACACTCAAAAGCAGAAAGTCTGAGGTTGTCGGCTTGGCGTGTGTGTGCATATTATTGGGCAAAGTAGAGGTTTTATTTTTTTTTTTTTACATTTTCCAAGGTTTAGTAATAGACTGTCTGGGAAGTGCCTGATAGCATCAGGATTTATGCTTAGTGCTATATAATCTTGTTCTAGACACTGTTTTCTCTGGCTTTCAAAGAAAAGATGTCCAGAATACTCTGTGGTGTACAGTTTGATGATGATGATAATAATCTAATCCGATTTGTCAACTTTGCTGCTTTAAGCAAATTTTGAAAAAACAAATGTTTCCATTTCTATCGTCTCCACAGTGGTACAATATCATTTCCACTGGGCTCCCAGCACAGGTCACTGAGACAGGACGTGTCAAAAGGCCAGCTAGTTGAAGCAAGCAAACAGCAGCACTAAGATAAATAGATTTGTTGTGACAGTACTGTTGAAATCACTGTTGTGTGAGACTGACTGCAGGCTCACAGCAGCCCCCTCCACTCTTCCCCCAAGGCTCAAAGAAAGGAACAATTTGTTGGAAGGAGGTAACTAGAAAAGCCTTGACAACAGTACACATTTACTTTTGGATCCCATTAATCTAAAACTGGTCCAGTCCACAAACTAGTTTTTGGGTTTTTTTTGTTTTTCATCCGCTGCATAGTTTCAGACCTCTCTTGAACTGTATCAGAAGTAGAGTTGCACTCGGGTCCAAATAATCCGACCCAGTCCGCAGCCATCATCTTCGAATCCCATCCGATCCGACGAATTAACAGTAATTACAGGTTCGAACCCGAAACCCTCCCCAACATTTTTAAATAAGCTTTAACTGCTTATACCACCAGCTATTATTAACGGTTGGCGGACGCTCAGCTGAGGGGCAGAAGATCGGAGTTGAGGAGCCGTCAAAGTGCATTAAACGCTTCCCTTGCTTCTGCCTGCATTGAACCCTGCTCTGACATGTCTGATATTTTGTGATCTCACCTGTTTGGGTCGTCGGCCGCACACGTCCGCTGAGTGCAGCGGCTGAATGAACGTCCATTTGGGCTGATGGATCGTTGGCACTAGTCAATCTGAAGCTTAACTGAACTTTTTACCTCTTTCAACCTGCCGGCCAGCGAGCAGTCAAATGGCCGTGTGCAGCAGGTGTAGTATGGCAAGCCATGTTTGCATAAATTGGATCGTCAGCCATGCGCATCCTTAACAGAATGAAAAGCCCGACACCAACCCGGCCCACACATTAAGCACATTATTATGGCCCGGCCCAGTCCGAATCTGGGTCAGGTGGGGCCGGGCTCCAGGTTCGGGCTAGAAATCTAATCAGAAGTACTCAACTGTCCAAGTAACATTCAGTAAAACTAATATTTTGTTAGATAATAACCAAGATCAAAGTTTTCATCTATGAAACTGCTCAAGGTCTACACTTTGTTGCTTTAGGCAGTGTTTTTGTGGCAAAGATTGGATTTCTGACCTTTTTATGTTTCTTTTCCACAACCGGGACAGTTTGGTTTCTGCTTACCTTCTAACCTGGTGCTGCCATCTCTGTTCATGTTGTGTTGTGACCATAGGCATTGCAACAAGTTTTATGTGAAGGGGACGTGTCCCCCGCACATTTACCATGAAATATTAGTTTACCCAGCACTTTCTATTTCTTCATGAACAAATCCATTCCACTTGATTAATAGGAGAATACTCAAACCACTAAAAATCCACTCCAGGTTTTCCTGGTTACCTACAACAACTTCACACCACTTGCAGTGTTTCTCCGAGGTTTAGGGCTAAGATGCTTGAGAGAAGCGGAGTGTGCTTTATTTACACAAGGAGAGCTGTTGGTCAGACTACTTTTTTTGCCGTGCTCTCTATAATAGTTATTGAATCAAGTGTTTACTTTTGTAGGTAAGCGTAGATGTTTAAAACCGTTAAAATAACTGGACTTTTTTTTTTATTTACCATTTCCTGGATGACTGAGAATCTTCACCAGCGTAACCAGTTAAAATACACCAGAATGCATAAAATGGCATCTACTTTATTCAGATTTTTCTGGGGGATGACCCCTCCTGCACACACACACCAGCATGTCCCCTCCACATTACAAATGCTCTGACTCCAAAGGTTTTTCAGCTTTACATATCAAACCCTTTTTTTAATTTAAGCACCATTCGTTATTTTACAAAAACAAAATAGACTGCAGAAACGGTGATAATACAAGATAAATCTGTCCCTACTGCTTGTACAAAGGTTTTGAGGATAAGTAGCATCCAGGCGATAATCAAACAAACATGAATAAATGATCATCAGCAGGTGTGAGCACCTCTGTGAAGACAGACGTTTAGTTGGTTGGAGCAATCGGGCACAAGGTCAGTCAGGCACAAAACAGCCAGGCTGTTTTATTTTGGAAACTTGCTGGATGCTTTGTTTGTTTGTTTTGTTAGTTTTTTTGCTCGGTGTACTTGTTGTGTACTGCTGGACACGCCTGTCATTCCCCAGTCTGTTACGGAAGCACGATCCGTAGTGTACTCCCGGGTCGCACGGATAAACGTTTTTAATGAATAAAATCTGTCTTAATATACTTAGAAAAGTACGTGCTCTGTCTCCACCAATCTTCATGTAGCTAATTTACGCCACTCGTATTTCCGTTACAAATCATTAGTTAAGATGATATGCGACGCATTAGACCTGACCCCCAGCCTGGGCTGAATAAGGGAAAAAACCCTGCAAGATACATAATTAATTATTTCCATGGTGAAACAGCGCCACTCAGTGGTGAAGCGGCATGTCATTTTAACCATGACATAAATATGTCAATGATTTTAACAGAAATACGAGTGGCGTAAATTAGCAACATGAAAATCGGCAGAGATAGAGCACATACTTTTCTAAGTAAATGAAGGCAATTCTTATTCATAAATGGAATTATACCAGTACATTTTCCTTAATCTAGCATATTCAACGGCGATCCGTGCGACCCAGAAGTATTCCTTTTATCGCAAATGAGCAACACTACGGATTGGCTTCTGTATCAGATAGGGGAATGACAACACCTTCTGTCTGAGATGGAGTGTGTGTTATTTACCTAAATGACACTAACTCTTTCTGCATTTCCTTTTTTGTTTGTTTATTTCCACAGAAGGCATTTGTAACATGACAATGGACTCCAACTCAATAACAATGCCGATGTCAGACCCCAATGCCTGGGCAGCCATGAATAACTTAAGAATGCCTCCCATGGGAATGACCGGACAGCCACTTATACCAGGTACTTCACACTTCATGTCTAAATTTAGAGCATTTCCATTCAGGTGGAGATATCTTTTGTTTTATAAAGACTGTTTTTGTATTACAAACACAAAGCATCTTCTTACTAAGATGATGCTTTAACAGGGTGCAGCAACTCTGGAAATCAGGGACAACCTGGAAAATTACTTTTATATGTTCAAGACCAGCCAGTCGATTTTTGGCACAACACAGGCCCACGTTTCCGGGTGGTCAGCGGTGACGCACAGCAAACGCAATGCGTCAGTTGTGATGCATAATAGCTGCGACTTATACAGCAAAGTGACTTATTTATATATTTTTCCCCCCCTTTATTAGACATTTTTGGACTGATGCGACTTATCGGTGCAACGTGTACGACAGAAAGTATGGTAGCTACATTAATAGTTCCAGTTTTGAAGACACAGTTTCATGTATTTAAAAAAGCAAATTAAAAAATACATAGAAAATGTGAAGTTTTCTTTTAGATTTGTTCCTAAATGCCTTTTTTTCATCAAATGATTACAATAAAATATAATATTTTTGGTTCAGACAGGTCTTAAAAATGGGACATGAACTGTGGTGGGTTACTGTTACTATCAACTTTTTCCTCCAATTTCTAAGCTCACCATCTTGTAATAAGCATATCTGAAATCACTCTGGGGGGTTTAAACTGCAACAATTAACATACCTATTCACCTTTCTTTTGCAAAGTTAAGCCAATATATTCTTACAATAACCAGTCTTACCGATTACTCAGTCTATAACATTAGGTTCAGCTACACCCTCCCACTCTCATCACTGAAGAGTTATTCTGTCACATCTTTTCTCTCCTCAGTAGAAGCCTTTCCCTAAAGCTTTTTATAAATCACTTCCCACTTCTTAGCTGAAATGCACTTTCATTTTTGAAATATGTCATCCGTGTGTGCGTGTGCGTGCGCGTGTGGAGATGAACAGTCTTCCAAATGCACTCCTCAAGAAATATTAGGGAAAACACAATTGCACGCTCACACATCAAGACACAACCATGACATATTTCAAACGTAAATAAAAAATAAAAAAAACTTTCCCCTGAAGTGGGTAAGCATTTCATAAAGACACCAAGTTGAAAAATGTAACGTACAGTAACGAAAGTAGGTTTTCAGACTTATATTATTCTTTAAATCTCTGATTGAGATGTAAGCTTCTTTTCCCTGGTTCCACTTCTTTTTACACAGTCACTCTTACATGCAGTTTTGCAGATATTCTCTCTGTTGTGTGTCTGATGCCAGATCAAGAAAGTAAACACAGGAAGTAGGCCGCAAAGTAAAGTAGTTACTGTCCACAAAAACGTAAAGAGAGCAAAACTTTCCCTCCATTTCAGCAGAAAGCAGCGGGCTGGAAGCACTGTTGGATTCTGGGTAGTGCACTGTTGGCTACTTGGTAGCGTTTTAATTCTGCAAACTCAACAAAGTTCTATCTTATCTTATCTTGGTTGTTTGGACTGACCTTACAATGTAGGCTTATTGAACGAAAACTACGAAATGGCGGCGCCTGTCCGAAGTATTTTTTTTTTCCTATAACATTTTATCTCGTACCGTCCCAATCATGAGTAATACTAAAGTTGACAGTCGTTGAAAAACCATGAAATAGCAAATTTACAAAAGTCGAACTGCAAAGTGGCGAGGGACTACTGTGCAATGATTTGAGCTGCACCTCCTACCACCAGCCAAAAGATTTGTCTAATTGGTACTATGGTCTTGGTTAAATTAGGCTTTAATCAGATCTTTCAATTAATGATTGCAACTGCTTTGTTGTAATCCAAATACAATTTCAGTGTTCAAATTTTCTAAATCAAATCAGACCTGTGATGGGGGGAGGGCCTTCATAATGCAGATCTGAAAACCTTCTGAGATGAAGTCCATGACGATGGATGACGAATGCTTAATATAAACTCTGCTTTTCTGGGCTCTGCATTACAGATGAAAGGCGTTTGGTAGAGGCTGAAAAACTCCTGCTGAGCACTTTACTTTGAACTTTATTTACAGCTGTTGAGGAACTTAACGGCAGCCATTTAACTTCATAGAAAGGAAAGCACTGTTTTCACTAAAAACGCTAATGAAGTCCATGCCAGTGATGCACCATGCACAATATTGTGGCAATAAAACTGGCGAACATAAATGGAACGTGGTAATTAGTGAAATTATAAATTTGCACCTGTGTTTGATCATTTAAAATGCCTGTTGTCAGGGGGGTTAGTGAAACAGCTCTTACTCTTAATCAAGTACTCAGGCAGATTTTGTCAAACAGCTCAGTGAACATGCCAGTTGGTTCTGGTCTATGTACTGTAAGCCTTTAAAAAAAGACCTTGATGTGATCATTGGAATAAGAAAGAGACAAGCTCTTAGGCTGTACATACTCAAACATGTTTTCACTTTTTCCTAATTAGACTCTTTTTATGTCTCGTATTATGGTTATTCATAAGTCACAGGAGCAAAGCTAATA